CTACATGAAAAAATTCTCAACTGCAATCCCAAATGTACCCTAAATATAGAAGGAAGCTGCTACAAATGTGATTTTTCTGTTTAATTCAGATCCTCATGACAACCAGCGTTAGTATTGCATCATTATTGGATAATCTATCCTTGTTATGCAACAATGTCTCATGTCTGCCATTAGTTCATCATATATCATCAATGATCAAATATTATCTATGTTGACTGGCTTGACTCCACCATTTCCAAATTGCACCATGAAAGTCCTTTTTATTTAGGTTGAACTGTTTTATGACTCTAATGTGCAGCAGCATTTCTAAAGACTATTTAATTAAAATTTTCTCTTTTGCATGTTGTAGATATATGATTGTTTCAACTGGAGGAACTGCAACTGCCTTAGAGAATGCTGGCATCTCCGTAACTAAAGTAGAACAGCTTACATCTTTCCCAGAAATGGTAAGCTGGTTTCTATTTTGGGCATACTTCTTTAACTTCTTTTCCATTGTTTTTTCAATTTCAGTCTCTATCAACATGCCACATGGAGTTACTTTGAGGAGAGACTAAATAAGTTAAAGTGATTACCACATCCTGATAACAAAAATTTTGACTTATTTGTTGCAAGTCAAGCCTGATGATTAACTGAATAGATTTTTAAATTTGTTGACATTGATTGGACAAGGATGTGGTTTTTCAACTTTTTCTGTTTTTTCACCCATTTCTTTCTCGCAACTTTACCTGAAGAACTGATAGGTTAATTTGTCAAACATGGACTGTGATAGAACAATGGTCTTTGCAGCTTGGTGGTCGTGTTAAAACCTTACATCCCAACATACATGGGGGTATTCTTGCTAGAAGAGACCAAAAGCATCACATGGAAGCTCTTAACAAACATGGAATTGGTGAGTTCTTAACTTTCTTGCAAAGTCTTGTAAAATTAATACATAGCATGCTTCTCTTTCATTCTTGTTTTGCATATGTTACAAAGAAATGTGCTCTTCTTTTCACTCTTGTTTTTCTAACTAATGTTATTTCAGGTACATTTGATGTAGTGGTGGTGAACTTGTACCCTTTTTATGATAAAGTTACTTCCACTGGAGGAATTAATTTTGAGGATGGAATTGAGAATATTGACATTGGTGGCCCTGCCATGATTAGAGCTGCTGCAAAGGTACTTCAATGCAGCTGTTTTGGCAAGCTGCATAATTTTTTGATATTTTAATTGAATTTTTAATTTTAATATTTTACATTTCTTCTAACATACTCATATCAAACAGAATCACAAGGATGTCTTGATTGTTGTCGATTCACAAGACTATCCTGCTCTTATAGAGTTTCTAAAACGAAATCACAATGATCAACAGTTCCGTAGAAAGCTTGCTTGGAAGGCTTTTCAGCATGTTGCTTCTTATGATTCTGCAGTTTCAGAGTGGCTATGGAAACAGACAGTTGGAGGTAATCTTTTGCTGCTTATGTTTCTGGTAATACACTTCCCATATTTGTTTCTTTTGCAAGTAAAATGGAGAGGGATAACTTAATAATGCAGTTATCTGACCAGGCCTTGAAAGGGGGACAGTGGGAAGGAAACAGGAAAGGGAAAAAAATGATAAAGCAATACTTTTAACTTGATGGATTCATCTTTCTAGTGTTTACCTTCATTATTTAGTATCTAGATTGACATGATTCTATGTCTTTTGAAGATAAATTCCCTCCCAGTTTAACTGTGCCACTTTCCCTCAAAAGTTCACTTCGCTATGGAGAAAATCCCCATCAGAAGGCTGCTTTTTATGTTGACAAAAGCCTCTATGAGGTCAATGCTGGTGGTATTGCAACCTCTATTCAGCACCATGGAAAGGTGAGAGAGATGTTCTGGATCTCTACCGTACACTCATATTGAAGGGAAATTAATTTAATTATTGTTTTGTTTCTTGCTGATTTGAGGATTTTGGAATAACTTATGATGGAAATAGAACTTATAGACAATTTTATCAGTTTTTTCTTTTTTCTCCTAGGTCTCCATCTCTTTTATATTAGTCATCTGTTTCATTCCAACACTCATGCTTACCATTTTTAATTCATGGTGCAGGAGATGTCATACAATAACTATCTAGATGCTGATGCTGCTTGGAATTGTGTGTCAGATTTTAAGAACCCTACATGTGTGATTGTAAAGCACACAAATCCCTGTGGGGTAGCTTCACGTAATGATATCCTTGAAGCATATAGGCTAGCTGTAAAAGCAGATCCAGTGAGTGCGTTCGGAGGAATTGTAGCCTTCAACATAGAAGTTGATGAGGTAATTTTGTCATAAATAGCCTGTTTCTGCATATAAATTGTTTTGAAAATGAAGTTTGAAATTTCTGCATAGAGCATGGACCTGTAGACAAATGTAAAAGCATTATGGCCAGATAAATGGGAACAAGGGAGTATATTTTGTCTGATTTTAATGCAGGTTAATGTATTAAGAAATAAAAAGCTAAACTTGGGATCAATAATATCTGAGGGACCTTTATGTCCAAAACTGTTTTAGGCCTAGAGGACTTCTGTTTATATTCTGAAGAAACTGTTTTGTAAATGGTTGTAATTTTAATATAATTAGTCACAGAAAAGTGAAAATCAGGATGTCCTGGTATTAAAAATTTCAAGATGTCTAATCCCAACTACACGATGGATAAGATTTTTAGTGGGACACTTGGATGTACATTATGTCCCACCCATCTTGTTGCTGTGATTGGGCATCTTGATTTTTTTAATGCCAGGACATCCTTTTTTCGGCAACCTCTAATTAGTAATTACATTAAAATACATTTAGAATGAGTTGAATGTATATAACTGGTGGTTTAACTTGAGAATAATTTCTATTGATTTTTGTCATTTTGCAACATATCAGTAGCAAAATCACAGAGTTTCACTTTGTAAGCAAAATTGTCACTCTCTGCTATTGATGATTTATAACATTCGATGCTACACACAGTAGTAAAATTCAAATGTCTATGGGTTCTTTTTTTGGTCAAAGAAATGGGTGAGGGTTCTTAGAATGCTACTTTACTTGTATATAAGTCATAAAGATAGGGGGTGATGTTGCTGTAGATAAACCATAATTGAGGGGTGTCTTCTTGTATCTTATCCTATTTTTTAGCCAGAAAAGATGGGAAGGCAAAGAGAGAGCCTCCTATGTATTTTGATCATTTAGTTTGCTGTGCTTTCAGGCTCTTGCTAAGGAAATCCGAGAGTTTAGGAGCCCAACAGATGGTGAAACTCGGATGTTTTATGAGATAGTTGTGGCTCCAAGTTACACAAAGAAGGGCCTTGAGATCCTCCGTGGAAAATCGAAGACATTGAGGATCCTTGAGGCTGAAAAGAATGAGAAAGGAAAGCTCTCCCTTAGACAAGTTGGTGGTGGGTGGTTGGCTCAGGATTCAGATGACTTAGTCCCTGAAGATATCCAGTTCAAGGTAGTGTCTGAGAAGAGTCCACAAGAAAGTGAGCTTCATGATGCTGAATTTGCTTGGCTATGTGTAAAGCATGTCAAGAGCAATGCAATTGTAATTGCAAAGGTCGGTGTCTATCTATTGATAGGATATCTTAGGGTCATTTTAAATTAACTACTTGGCAATATTAAGTTTAATTTCACATCGTATCCCAACCAAAAGGAAAATAAATTTTGATCTTTGATATTTGGCCAGAACAATTGTATGCTGGGTATGGGAAGTGGGCAGCCAAACCGCTTGGAGAGTTTGAGAATAGCTCTAAGGAAAGCAGGTGATGGGGTCAAAGGAGCAGCTTTGGCTAGTGACGCATTCTTCCCATTCGGTAAATATAAACTTATTTAGTCTGTGGCAGTTTCTATGTTATTGATATGGTATTCTGAATTCTATCTTGAAATGAAATTAATTAAACATCCTATAATAGAAACATAGAATGATTGCCCAACAACTTGCCCTAGACTTGTAACCTATTTTTTAACATGAATAACATGTTTCATAAACAGCTTGGAAAGATGCTGTGGAAGAAGCCTGTGAAAGTGGGATTGGAGTTATTGCTGAGCCAGGCGGGAGCATTAGAGACAATGATGCAATAGACTGCTGTAACAAGTATGATGTTTCACTGCTTTTCACAAACGTGAGGCACTTTAGGCACTAATTCTTGTATCTCTTCTTGCCTTTTTGGGTTCAACCTTGTGCTTCAATGTGGGCACTAGAACATTCAAGTTTTGATATCTCATTATATGTCATCTTAAGATATTCCTCTTGAAGATTCGCAGAAAGATCTATGAGAAAGGCATTAATGCCTACTGCCTACGCATTTTTATGACTTCTTCTTCCACTCAGTCTTGTGACTGTATTATTGAACAAGAAAGATGAAATTTATGCCTAATGTTGTTTTTTTTTTCCTTGTCAATTTTACACTTCTTAATTTCCAAAATGATGTGAAGAAGTATGTACCATATATCTTCATGTGACATGACCATATGAGTGAAGAATTAACATCTAAACAAGATTAAGAACACCATCAAGTTCTTTTAGGGGCAAATCAAAAAACTAAAAACTTTCAAAAGAAGTTAATCTGGGTTCCATACCGCCCCAAAGCTCCCCCATCATGGGCTACTGCAGCAGCTGCATAAGTGGGAACATCAACAAGAACAGAATCCGGTTCCATTAAGACCGCATGTTTGATCAAAAGATGTACAAGGACCATTAGCTTCCCTTGGGCTGAATGACTGTCTTTGAATTGGCCGATAAGAAAGATTATCACTGCAATAAGAAAGAATATCAAGCTCCCAAATAGTTAATAGGTGCCGACTTGGGTAAACTCTTGTTGGTCCTGCAAAATGTGCATGACCTTAACATCATCAAACTGCTGCAGTAGTAATCTGCAGGCAAAAATCATAGGCAGGAAGAGATTAGACAACCTTTATTCATCAGTTAGCAACTTGAAAACAGTTTGAGAATGCAATTTAAGCTCAAATTCTGAAAATTATCACATACACCTTCAAGGCAGTGTCCATTTTGATATATGATTATCGAAAATTAGTGAAGAAATCTATAATGTTGGAATTACTTATTAGCTCAGCTCTCTACATTCCATTTGACAACAAAAAAAATTCCACTAATCCACTTTCATAGCTACTCGAGATAACAGGCAACATCAATTTTACTATAGAAATGTAGCCAACAATACGAGGGAAACACTAGGGATCTACAACTGAAATATAGTACAGTTCAAACAATCATTCAAAAATGACTTAACCAACATAATCTATAAGACTATAACTATCATGTTTTTCTCATTCCTCTAGAAATTATGTGAATAACATGTAAACTATAAAATGAAATAACAATCAAGGCCGCAGATATTAAGATATTCCACAAATTGTAGCCATTTTTTATTTTTCACAAAAATTCTTCTCAGCTTTATGAGCTTAGTTATTCCATAAACAAGGAACAACTAGTCATCAAACTTAGCTTGTCAAAGATTTGCCAAGTTGAAGCATGTGAATCCAACTACATGCTGAAAAGAGGGGACTAAGTACCTGATGACTCCATCATTTATTCCAATACAACCTTTGCTCCAAGAGCTTTCATCTTCTCAATTATCTGCTCTCCTTCTTCCTTGGAGGCTCCCTTTTTCAACACTGAATGGGTCTTCTCCACCAAATCCTTAGCTTCCTTAAGACCCAAATCAGTAAAAGATCTAACTTCCTTGATTATCTTGATCTTTGTAGCCGCTTCATATGATTCCAATTTCAATTCAAAAACAGTCTTCTCCGGTTTCTGCTCCTCCATGGCAGACGCAGCTGATGCCTTTGTTGCCATTCCAGCAAATCCAGCAGTACCAGCTTTCATAACCCCGACCGCCGGCGGCTCCGTCATCCCCCGTCTCTTCATTATTATAGAACCCAGTTCCGCAATTTCAGCCAATGTAAGCCCTGATATTTCATCTACCAGCCTCCAAACACGCTCCGTCGGAGGACCCCGATGTTCAGTTGGATCAAAATTCGCTGGATCATAATCAGCTGGAAGCCTCCTTGGATCAATCTCCACTTCTTCCTCATCCTCTTCCACTTTCCTTGCAGGCTGACCAAAATTTCTCGATTGCCCCATTATGGCTGAAAGCATTAAGAACTACAAGATGGGATTTTTTGCACAACCCATTAGGTAAATGATGCTTTAATCTTAAAAGCAAGCTCATTTCTGAAATTTAGCACCTTCTTCTACTGATGGGAACTTGAAAATGGCGAAGGAACAGTATAAACCTTATAACAAAGAGAAGGGCTTCCGAAGCAGTACCAGAGTTACAGTGGTACACTGGTACGGATTTTGGGCCGGTGCTTTGGTTGCTTTTACTGGGCCAGGTCGGTTTGTTGCATTGATTTACGTACAAAGAAAAAATATTCAAAAATTACGGTTATTTGATAATTAAAATTTATGACTATTTTATTACGAAATATTATTAAAAAAATTACCTACATGTCTGATTAAGAAAAAATTATTTTAAAATTATATTATTTTAATAAATTTATATTAAAATTAAAATAATTTATTTTTAAAATATAAATTAAAATATTTTTAATTTTTTAGTTATATTTTATTAAAAAACATAATTTTAAAATATTTTTTTTAATTTATAAAAAATAAACACATAAATACTAATTTTATATATTAATTTCTAATATAATGTGTTATTATATAATTAAAAAATAAAAATAATTTAATTTATCTTTTAAAATTTTAAATTTCTTTCATAAAAATTTATTAAATCAACGCCCTACTTATTTTATTGTAACTTGTTCCTTTCTACCTTTTTAAGGGAACGAGGACACTATTTCATTTATTTATTTATAATTTTATTTTATATTTAATATTTTCATTTGGTACTTGGAAGCGGCATCGGAATGGTGAGAGAAAGTAGGGGGAAAGGAGATGGAGAAGGGAAAGATTGTGGTGGAAAAAGTGGAAGGGAAGTCAACGATGACGAGATGCTTCTCCAAATATCCCCTCAAATTCATTATTCCCAGAAAGGTTCTTTCTTTCTGTCTACTTTTGTTTTTGTGAATCAATATGTTGTCTGAAGTGGACCTGCTTTTCATGTTGTTTCTAGGTGGGTTCTTCCAAAACTGATGCTGTCTGGATCTACAGTCTCACTTATGGCGGTGGAATTGTCTCTGTATGTCCTTATTGTTTTTATGTAAATCTTGTTTGTATATTGTTCAATGATTTAATGGATTGCTTTTGGTTTAGGGAGATTGTATTTCATGTGAATTTACCATTGGAGATGGGTGCAATACGGTCCTCACTACGCAAGCCTCAACAAAGGTTCGTTTTTTTTTTTTTCAGCTATGTCTAAAATTTTTAACTGGTAGCTACTGAGTTTTGTGTGAATTGATCTATTAGCATTCTATCATGTTTAATTGGATGTAGGTCTACAAGTCTCTGGGGTCTAAGTGTTCTGAACAAATCTTGGAGGTATTTATCCTTGGCCTTTTTACTCCTAGTGCAATAATGGTGGGTTGCCTGTGTTTGTGTGTGGTGTGGGGGTGGGGGGGAAGGGATTCCCACATGTTATCGAATGGGATGGGATGCATTTTGATGACAAAGACTAATTTTTTGCCCTGTAGTAGGCAAGAATTGGGAGTGGTGCTCTCTTTGCTGTCATTCCAGATCCAGTGACATGTTTTTCTGCTGCAAGATATTCTCAAAAACAATTCTTTAGGGTGGGTTCCGACTCAAATTTGGTCATTGTTGACTGGATTACCAGTGGCCGCCATGAAAGTGGAGAAAAATGGGATTTTGAGCTATATAAGAGTACGAATCACATATACCTGGAGGGAAATCAGCCCATATTTCTTGATACGGTAGTATTCTTTTCTCTTTTTTTTTTTTTTTTGTGAAGTAATTCTAATTTTGGCAGTAATAATGGGATACCGATGCCTTTAGGGTGCTGTATTTGTAGATATTCGTCAAAAATTTTCAGTGACATTTTTTTTTATTGCTTACCTCTCCTTAAGAAAGATTAAAACATGGATTAACCTCACTCTCAATTGAGTAATCAACATTTGAATGTTTCTATTGGCAAGTTTGTTACTTTGATCCCTTGTTTTGTGACTCTTTTTTTCAGATCTAAGTTATAACAAAAATGAAATTGAAGGTTCCGCTTGTGATAGTAGACTAGAGAATTTATTCATGTGCTGCTATCATGAATGAAATTTTTAGATTCATGTCAAGCAAACAAGGCTCTTTACCTTTTCTCTTTTGTTTGCTAAAGCCATAGTGACACTAGAAAAGCATGTTTAGGAGCTTTGACTGGAGTTATTAGACTCAAAGTTTCACTTGCCTAATTGATTTAAGTGGTTTGTATGACAGTTGTTGCTAGAACGAGGGAGCACTGTCAGTGTAAGAGAACACATGCAGGAGTACCATGTCATTGCAATGGTCGTAATCTATGGGTAGATAGTTACTTGTTTATTATAGCTTACCTCCAGTTTACGTTTTTTTTTTTTTCCCTTCCTGGTGTGATTTGAGTTTGTATTTGCTGACTGGGAACTTTTGTCTTATTAATGCTTCATTGTAGTCCAAACCTGAAGCATATTCAAGACCAAGTTCAAAAAAATGTGAAGATGATGATGTCTGAACAATTACACAGTCCTTCCACTAGCTTGGGTTGCCATGTTCGCATGAGATCAGATAATTGGTCGGTGAAACCATCCATTGTTGCTTCTTGCAGTGTCTTTGGTCCAAAGGTGTGTATCTTAGATCTAACTTCCATGAAGTTGATGCATACCCATCACAAAATCAACTAGCTAATGGTTAGTCTTTCTATTTTGTTTTGACAGTGTTGTACCAATTCAGCCTTTTTATTTGACCAAGTTCAATCACTTCATAAACTAGAAATTGAAAGCCACGCTTAGTCTTGGGTCTTGGAAAAACTACTAATATGGTTTCCTAGAATAGTGCCTTCATCTATTTTATAATTGGGAATATGTTAGAAGAGTTGAGTGAGTTTTTTCAAAGTTTTGGATGATATGTATGTAATGTGGGAATGATTTGAACACATAATAGGTAACTATCAATTCCCATCCCTTCTGCTCTTGTGTCTCATTCGCTTTTCTCATATAAGAGCTAATAGTTTAACTTCAGACGTTAATCTTTTCTAGTTTTTCCATTAGAACAACAAAGGACAAGTAGTCGGCTTGCATTCTTTCATTGTTATTTAGGGGGTAAACCATCTATCTTGACAAACGTCACTACAGAATTGCATTATATCCATATACAAGTACCTCTCCCTTTGCAGTATTCTTTTCACCTGTTTTTCTTCTGTCATTAGGAGCCTGCATTAGCCAAAAATTTCTTGTATTTCATTTAAGATACCGAAGAATATCGTGATATCCTCTGGTTTTGATATAAATAAATTTGCTTTATATTGAAGTTCATTGCTGTGATTCTCATTGTTACAGGGAATAGGTGTTGTTGTTCGAGTAGTTGCTATGGAAACCGAGTCGGTATACAGTTTCCTGCAACAACAATTGGTTGGCTTGGAGCCACTGATTGGGCTGCAGCCTTATTCTTGAGCAAGAACTGTTCACTTCCATTCAATTGAGATAATTGTAAGCACATTGCAATTTGTCTTCTTGAATTTGTAGCATACATTTCAAGTTTTGTTTAGTTGAAACATTACTTTAATTGGGTTGACACAATGATTACTATTTGTTGTGTTTCGTTAATTTTGATGGATTATTTTTTCAAAAAATGTGTAAACACCCACAATAATTTTTTACATTAAAAATATTAATACAAGTTTAAGAGAATCCATGGATAATTTTATTAAGAAAAATGGACTCTAAAAATGCATCCAAAACATTGAAATTATTAAAATATTATTATAAAACTCTTCTCTATGTTTATTTATTTAATAATAATTTAATATATTTACTTCTCAAATGTACATTAAATTGCAATTTAAATTTTAAAACATCAATTTTATTTGTTTATTATTAGTATTATAATAATAATATTTT